GTGCTATAGCATGTACACACACACACACACACACACACACACACACACACACACACACACAGATGTACACACAAAAAAATAAGTATTTTTAGGAATTATAAAAGAACGGAGGAAGTAAACACTGGGGTAGTGTTACATTTATTCCTGATGAATATCATGAGAACCCTGCCAAGCAAATTGGAAACCCTCGGGGGCTGGAGAGGTGGCTCAGCAGTTAAGAGCACTGGCTGTTCTTCCAGAGGTCCTGAGTTCAATTCCCAGCAACCACATGGTGGCTCACAACCATCCATAATGAGATCTGGTGCCTTCTTCTGGCCTGCAAGCATACATGTAGGCAGAATACTGTACACATAATAAATAAATAAATCTTAAAAAAAAATTGGAAACCCTCTTCTGCCCAGTGTGTCTCTGACCTCTCCACTCGCCGCCCTTTCTACTTCCCTACTCTTCCAGCCCTGGTCTGCCTTAGCTAACTTTTACTCTTTCTCTAAAATTCAACTAAATGCCATCTCATTCAGGAAACCCACTATCCATCCCCTTCCTCTAGGAAGAGAGCGTTCCTTCCTTCTAACTTTGTACCCTGTATTAGTAAGGGCTCTTTAGAAGAACAAAACTTATAGAATGAATCTAGATAGATAGATAGAGAGAGAGAGAGAGAGAGAGAGAGAGAGAGAGAGAGAGAGAGAGAGAGAGAGATAGGCAGGCAGGATTTAGTAGAATGGCTTCTTACAGGCTGTGGTCCAGCTAGCCTAACAATGGCTGTCTACCAACAGAAAGGCCAAGAATCCAGTAGCTGTTCAGTCCACAAGGCCAGATGTTCAGTATACACCAGGATCTCAAAGAAGTAGGCTCTAATGCCAGGGAAGGAATGGACTTGCCAGTGACAGTAAAGGCAAGCAAGCAAAGAGCTAAGGCTTCCTTCTTCCACGACCTTTATATAGGCTGCCAGCAGAAGCCGTGGCCCAGATTAAAAGTGGATCTCTCCACCTCAAAAGATCTGGATTAAAGGTGTATCTTCCCATCTCAAAAATCCTGAATAAAAGTGGTTCTTCCCACTTGAAATGATTTGATTAAGAAAAAAATCCCTCACAGGTGTACCCAGCTGCTTGGGTTTTAGTTAATTCCAGATGTAGTCAAGGTGACAACCAAGAACAGCCTTCACATATTCTGTACTTTCTTCTACCATTCAATTTTTCACATATACGGTAATTTATATAATTTAATTTATAATATATAATATACAATTCAATAATATGTCTGTTCCCCTACTAGACTATGAATGAATCCCTCAAACGCACAGCCTTCTTTTTTTGATCTCCCATACCCAAAACTGTCAATTACACAGTAGGTGCTCAGATATTTACTATATGCACAAATATCCAAGGAAAGAAAATCAGTCACCAGATGATACATGGAGCTATAAAGCCACTCTTAAAAAGACTCCACTGGGGCTGGAGAGATGGCTCAGCAGATAAGAGTGCTGGATGCTCTTTCAGAGGACCCAGGTTCAATGCCCGGAACCCACATGGCAGCTCACAACTGTCTGTAATTCCAGTTCCAGGGGATCCAACACCCTTACACAGATGCACCAATGCAAACAAATAAATAAATAAAGTCAGCCGAGAGGAGGGAACCTCAATTAAGGAACCTCCCTCCCCAAGATGAGGCTGTAGGTAAGCCTGTAGGGCATTTTCTTAATTATTCTTCATTAGTGATTGATGGGAGGGAGAGGGCCCAGCCCATGGTGGGTGGTGCCATCCCTGGGCTGATGCTCCTAGGTTCTATAAGAAAGCAGGCTGAGCAAGCCACGATGAGCAAGCCAGTAAGCTGCACCCTTCCATGGCCTCTGCATCAGCTCCTGCCTCCAGGTTCCTGCCCTATGTGAGTTACTGTCCTGACTTCCTTCAGTGATGAACAGTAAATGTAAGCTAAATAATCCTTTCCTCCCCAAGTTCCTTTTGGGTTTCACTGGGCCTCATGGTGTTTCATTACAGCAATATTACCCTAACTAGGACAATTCATGAAAAGAAATAATTATAGAAACAGAAGAACTGGTGAGAGAGATCAGAAGGTAAAGGTGCTTGTTGCCAAACCTGGGGACTTGGGTTTGATCCTGGGAACCCATATGGAGAGATCCAATTCCCACAGAGTATCCTCAGGCTTCCAAATACATGCTGTGGCACACACACACACACGTATGTTTTCGCACACACAAATAAATAACACAATTTTTATTTTTTTAAATAAATAAATGGAATTAACTGTTTAACTTAATACAGGCTACCAAATACAAGTAAAAACCACTCACCAGGAGAGTCATTGATAGAAATGAGTTTAAGACACTCTTTCCCTACAGCATTGCATGCTAGAATAAAAGGTGTTAATTACATTCCACCCTGAAAGGCCAACCTTTCAAACCCAAACCATTACAATGTTAGAGAACTAGCTCCTCCCAGTGACAGTGTATCATCTGACACCTTTGGGAGACAAGCAAGCTACACTGTGACAGATAAGGCAGAAACAATTCCTGAGGTCATATGTCCCTTGGGCAGAATGATGGTCCCCTGAAGATGTCCACAAAATAGAAAATGTTTTACTGTGCATGGTAAAAGGGACTTAGTAGTTCTGATAATTAAGGATTTGGGGGTGAGATTATTCTGGATTATACAGTAAACCCAGTGAAATCACAGGGCTCTCATAAAGAGGGGAGCAAGAAAGTCAGAAAACAATGTGGCCAGGCGGTGGTGGCACATGCCTTTAATCCCCAGCACTCAGGAGGCAGAGGCAGATGGATCTCTTCTGTTCAAGACTAGCCCAGTCTACACAGTAAGTTCCAGGACAGCCATGGCTCTGTAGAAAGACCTTATCTCAAAAACAAACAAACAGAACAGCCAGGCTGTAGTGGTGCACGCCTTTAATCCCAGCACATGAGAGGTAGAGGCAGGTGGATCCCTGTGAGTTCCAGGACAGCCAGGACTACACAAAGAAACCCTGTCTCATAAGGAAAAAAAAAAAAAATGTGAGGTAGAGGAACAAGGATGTAACTTAGTGGTAGAATGTCTGCCTAGCATGTGAGGGGCCCTGGGTTTGATCCCCAGCACCTGTTACTCACCCTCAAAAACACACAGAAAAGGAGAAGGAGGACAGAAGCAAATCAATATCGGAGAGACAGGCAAAAAGAGGAAGATCTGATGCTAGGCAATGCTGGTTTTGGGGATGGAACTGTGAGGTAATGAAATGTAGGCTCCCTCTTAGAGGTAGAAAATTCAAGGACAGAAATTTTCCCAAGTGCTTCCAAAAGGAATTCAGTCCTAACACTAGTTTAAAAGAAAGAGGAAAAAAAAAAAAAGGAAGAAGAACCTTAAGATAAGAAATGTATGTTAATTTGTGATAGTTTATTACCAGCAGTAATATAATTACAATGTAACACGAATGCCTAAAAGCAGCAATAACTGATCAAACTTACCTTCTAAGAGGGAATGATCTCGAACAGCTTCCGCAGCTAACACAGACTTCCCACAGCCTGCCATTCCATATATGGTGACCCACCCTGGATCACCATTCAATTTCCAGAGCTTCTGCTGAATCGCATTTACCAGCTTCTTTCTAGTAACAAAAATAACTGGCCTCTGTGGTACTCCACCTTCACACAGCACAGTCCTGACTGAAATCCAAAACAAGTATGAATGAACAAAACCCTGAAGTTTTTTTTGAGTAGTTACTACTTTTGAGTAACCCTCCCATAAAGGCCAGATAAGCAAGGCTGATGCTTAGCCTCAAAATCGGCAAAACAAATATCCAAATATGACTAGAATATGAACTGCACCCTCTGATGTCTCATAACACAGAGCAAGAGTAAGCATATATTCTTCAAGATCACCACACACAACGGGAGTCTCCATCTATCCCTGCCTTATACACACTATTATTCCCTGACCCTCTGCCCTCTTCTGTCTATGTTGAATAACGGGAAGGACCAAGGGTATAGTTCAGTGGCTGAGTTTGCTTAGTACATGCAAGGTCAAGGTTGTGGGTTTGATCCCAAGTACCACAAAGCAGGGAAGGGCTGAGGGCAACAGAATGGGTCAGCAGGCAAAGGCACTTTGCACAAGTTCCACTCCTGCACGTTGTCCCCTGACCTCTACATGTGCACCATAGCACACACTGTAAGTCAATGTGTCAAAAAGAAATACTTCTTAAGACTGGAAAGAATGTACAGCGAACCATGTTTATGGAGTTCCTTTCAAAAATATAGACTTCTGGGCTAGAGAGATGGCTCAGTGGTTAAGAGCACTGGCTGTTCTTCCAGAGGACCTGGGTTCCATTCCCAGGACCCACATGGCCGCTCACAACTGTCTGTAACTCTAGTTCTAGGAAAATCCAATGCCCTCTTCTGGCCTCTGAGGACACCAGGCATACATGCAGGTAAAACACGCAGACACATAAGATGAAAGTTTTTAAATAAAAAAAATGTAAATTTCTAAAAATTCTTTTCCTGTCCCATAAAATATAAACACACAAATAAAGAAAATAATTAAGGTCCTACACATGCTCTTATCAGTTCTAAAATTTAGAGTACATATGCTACTACCTTGGCAGTCAACAGTTCACTGGACAAGAAAAAAATGTATTAACATGGACACAAATTAATATTTAGATTTGAACTTAAAATATTTTTGCACACCGGGCGGCGGTGGCACAAGTCTTTAATCCCAGCACTCGGGAGGCAGAGCCAGGCGGATCTCTGTGAGTTCGAGGCCAGCCTGGTCTACAGAGCGAGATCCAGGACAGGCACCAAAACTACACAGAGAAACCCTGTCTTGAAAAAAATATATAGAGAGGAAAAAAAAAAAATTTGCACATGCATCCTTCCATGACTTGAAATATACTTTGCAACAGTTTAACTATAATCAAACCTGCAAGCAATACAGCCATGACACAAGATATCAGGAGTACAAACCGAATGAAGTAATCCCGCCATCCGTGTCTTTGCCACTGGAAGAAGACACGAGAGGAAGGCCACAGTGAAGAAGGGCAGCAAGGTCTTTGTATCCCTCGTGGAGCAGAGCATTGTAGAATGAAATGTAGGCACCGTTGTCTTTATTAAGTATCGTCGTAATTAAAGCAGCCGCTCGCTGATATTGAGTGGTCTGAAAAAAATCCAACAGTGTGAGAGCAGAGCAGTGAAGACGTCTGCAGCGCAAATTAAGAGAACAGTGCAGACTCTGAGAGGACTGGAAACCTGAAGGAGGCACAGGATCCTCGGAGGGCTTTACCTGACTTTTCACCTTTTCCTCCTCGACTATTGTTAAAACGCTGTCACTGATCATGTGGTCCATGATGTAGGACGTCTTGATGTCCTTTTCCAGAGCTTCTCTATGTTGAAGCAAACAATTCCGGGCCTTTGCATCCATTGTCCCTCAGTCCTTTTTCTCTCTTCACTGTCAAGCATGAGCTACAGGCCAAGTGTCGAGATAGCTGTCATGACAAGAAACATGATATGTGATCAAGAAATGTAAAGAAAACAAGAATGGGGGGTGGGGGGAGGCTGGAGATAAGGTTTGTCCGTTGTAGCCTTGGTTATCCGGAAACTAGCTCTGCAGACCAGGCTGGCCTCAAACTCAGAGATCTCAGAGATCCACCTGCCTCTGCTTCTCAAGTGCTAGGATTATTAAAGATGTGTGCCACCACCACCTGGCTTTTTATTATTTTTAAATTATGGTTATATATATATATATATATATATATATATACATACATACACACACACATATTGGTTTTTTTTGAGACAGGGTTTCTGTGTGTAGCTTTGTTGCCTGTCCTGGATCTCCCTCTGTAGACCAGGTTGGCCTCGAACTCACAGAGATCCGCCTGTATATATATATATATATATATATATATATATATATATATATATATATATATATATATATATACATATATATATACATACATACACACACACATATTCGTTTTTTTTGAGACAGGGTTTCTGTGTGTAGCTTTGTTGCCTGTCCTGGATCTCCCTCTGTAGACCAGGTTGGCCTCGAACTCACAGAGATCCGCCTGGCTCTGATGGTTCGTATTTAAAGTGGAACATTACACAGCCATTTAAAATTACATGGCACATATCTCTATGCAGCATATATACTGACAAGGAAAGATGTTTCTGAGAAATAAAACCTCAAATAACACAAAATGTGTTGCAGCTCAAAAACGTACAAGAGGATGCTGAAAAGTTTGTTCATCAGTGTTTGGGAGATTTTCTTCTTTTGTAATTTTATAGTGTCATTTTTTTCAATAGACATTGGCATTTTTTACAATAAAAAAAATCTTCCTTTTCTTAAGTTTGAGGTCCTGTACAAGTTACCATACCTAATTCCTAATGTTTCAAAACTTGTTTCCTTTATCCAACCTACAACTGAGCAGCATTAGTAGCATTGCTGATCTTAGTTCTCAAAGTAGATATCAACCGCAGATCTTCATTAGTAAGCACATTCTCACAGAGCCACAGGAAATACCCTCTGACGTCATTTCTCGGACTATAGTAACAAGGAATAATATTCTTTACAGAAAGATATTTCTATTTCCTAACAACTTCCCTAAAATATAATGAAAATTATTAAGGGTATAAAGCCCAGTTCTGAATGTTTGCAAGTTCTAAACACATAAACAGAACTCCATCCAATGTTATTAAAGTGTGAATGTCTTAAATAGACTTAATCATTCCTTCAGTGCATGCTGTGTGTGTGTGTGTGTGTGTGTGTGTGTGTGTGTGTGTGTGGTGCTGGGGGTTGAACCCACTGCCTTATTTTGCACGGTGGGTAAACAATCTCCCACTAGTGCTGCATAATCTCAGCCCTCTTTCAAGACATACTGAGCCCTTCCTGAGACTAGAGAAGATTAACTCATAACCAGAAGGAATTTACAGTCTAGTAGAACAGAAAGAGAGGTAATCACAATGTGACTGTCTATATGCAAAACCAGAGACAGGCACGGAGTAATTTAGAGAGCTCGGAAGAGGGGTATCATTCAACTTAAAAAAAAAAAACTTTTTTTTGAAAAGTCATCAAATGTAGCACTTGCAAAAAGAAAAAGCATCTGTTTGTGCTTTTCAAGGTTCACAGAATGCCTAGGAATGGAATGAAATTAACTGAAGAAATCAAAGAAAAAAAAAATCAGGAACAAGACTACCATTTTCAATGTTAACATTTTTAGTCTCCACTGACAGTTGTGAAATTCATTCTGACAAAGGATATTAGGTTATGTCTAATAGTTAAGCAAAAAACACACTTTGGCAACTAAATTCCCAATTTCCTCGAGCCTTATAAAACTCAAATATGAGATTTTAAACACTCCTTTCAAACTTTACCCAACAAACTGAAATGCTAGGGGAAAATTCCCAGGGCCACACCCCTTGGAGGGCCACATCAAGAGAGAAAGTCAAACTGTCTCAGAGACACAGAACACACACTGAAGGCTGTCTGTCCAGGAAAAACAGTAACAGTGGTCTACTTCCTCCTTCGATAATCTCTCTTCCTGATCCAGGAGCAGGATGGTTATCCAATATCCCCGCGTTCCCTCACCTTCAGTCCCGGGGTTCTACGACAGAACTCGCGAAGAGCCTGTCTGGAGGGGGTCGGGGAGAGGAGGGGAGGGGAGGGAGGGAAACTTACCCAAGCCTTTGCACCGAGGTTGTGCTGGGAAGAGCAGCCCCGGGAGGGTCAGGAGCTGATCACCGATCGCCTTGGGGCAGCCCCGGGAGGGTCAGGAGCTGATCACCGATCGCCCTAGAGCAGCCCGGGCATGCAGCGACCCCGCGCCCCGGGCAGGTCCTGATACCTCAGGTGCCTCACCTGGGTATCGGCCGCTCGGGGCGCAGGGGGATGCCGGGGACTTCCGAGCGGCGGCGGCGGCGGCGGCGAGGGGGTGGTCCCCTCGGCGGGCAGACCCCACAGGGTTGCCTCTGGCCTTCACCGGAGCTAACCTCGACCCGGGGACACAAAAGCACCGCCACTCCGGCCGCCGCTTCTCAAACCCTCCGGCGGGAGCTGCCCGGGCGGGAAGCGGGCGCCGCTCGGCACGCTGCCGCGACTGTCTCCGATGGGATCGTCGCGGGTCGCGGACGGCACACGCCTCCCGCAGCCGACCCTCCCCTCTTCACACCCCCTCTGAAGCGCGGAGAAAGCCAGGGGTCCGGTCCGCTCGCCGCCTCCGGGTCCCCGCCTCAGGCCCGCGGAGCGCTCAAACACAGCGCCGGGCCCGCCCAGTCCGGACGGCGCGCGCCCCCGCGCCCCCGCGCCCCCGCGCACGCAGATCCGCTCGCCGAGGGCCGGCCGCCGCGCGCGCCCCGCCGGGCGCGTGCCCGCAAGCCCCGCCCCCCCACCCACCGGACCCTCCCCTCCCCCGGGGAGCGTCTTCGCATGCGCGCGGCGTGGGCGGGGCCGAGGCGCGGGGGGGCGCGCCCGGCGGGACGTGGCACGCTCGGCCCCGCCCCTCGCGTCGCGTCCCCGCAGCCGGCGCGCCCCCCGCGAGCTTGCCTTCCCAGACGGGTTAGCGGAACCCGGAGGCGGGAGGCGGGGCGGGGCGGGGGGCGGGGCTGGCTTGTGGGCGTGGCCCGGCCTGGGAGCGGGGCGGGGCTCCTGGAGGCTTGCTGCAGCCACGTCCCGCGGTACCCCAGGGGAAGCCGACCCCGGCTTGGAGATCCTCAGGGTTGCAGACATGTCCGAGGTGAAGAGCCGGAAGAAGCCGGGGCCCAAGGGGGCTGCCGCCGAGCCCGAGAAGCGGAGCGATGGCAGGAAGAACCCCGAAGCACCGGGAGGCGCGGGCTGGGCGGACCCCCGCACCGGGCTCAGCTTGCTGTCGCTGGCGACGTGCCTGGGCCTGGCCTGGTAAGTGCTCGAGGCCGCAGGCCGTGGGTCGAGCCTCGCGTGGGCGCCCCGCTCCTCGCGCCAACCCACTCTTGCTTGAGCGCGTTCATTTAATTCTGTTCTGCTAGCATGCTCCTGTCGCTGCCCCCTAAAGTCTAGGAACGAGTCACCCCGAGACTCGACCCACACTTTCTTCAGTGCCTACTATGCACACACGTCACAAGTTTGCACATAGCTAAAAACCGCTACTTCCTGTCCACTCTGCAGCTTTGCCGGTAAATTTGCCCCACCCCACACCCCACACCCCACCCCGCAAAAATAAAAGAAAACCGTACAAGGGAAATGTCTGGAATCTAAAAATAAAAGTTCGTTGTTGCTGACCAACAAATGCTGATGCTTTCTCCTATTTAGAGCAGTGTGCCTCCATTAAAACTATAGTCCTTTTTTTAAGATTAATTTTTATCTGTGTACATGAGTGTGTCTGTGTGTTCATGCACTTGTGTACAGGTGCGCAAGGAGCCCACAAGAGGGTGTCAGATCCCAGGAGCTGAGGTTACAAATGGTTGTAAGCCACAAGACATGCATGCTCTTAACAGTTGAGCCATCTCTCCAACCCAGAGACTATATAATCTTATTCCTAAATTACAGGTTGAACTGTATGTAGCACTGTAAAGAATACTTCTTTTCAGTTCAGACTAAACATTCATAGTTTTTGGTTTTTCGAGACAAGGTTTCTCTGTAGTTTTGGTACCTGTCCAGGATCTCGCTCTGTAGACCAGGCTGGCCTCGAATTTACAGAGATCCGCCTGGCTCTGCCTCCCCAGTGCTGGGATTAAAGGTGTGCACCACCACCGCCCGGCACATTCATAGTTTTTAAACCAAGCACATATTGATGATATATTAGTGTAATATGGAATAATCTCTAAAGTAAGACCGATTTTATTTTCTTCCGTGTTTCTTAGGAATAACCTACTTCATCTGCATAACAAGACTGATACATTAATACATTTTTCATCATTGACAATTATTTAGTAAGAGAGCTAATAGAATTCAGAAGAGGCTCCAGGCTAGAATATTTTTGATGCTAGTGCATTCCATTTTCGTTTACTGGTGACATCCCAAGCCCTGGGGTTTGGGAGGTGTATGGTTAAGTAGTTGGTTTGGTTTTTTTGAGACAAGGTCTTAGGTAGCCTAGGCTGGACTGGAACTCAACTATGTAGCTGAAGATGACATTGAACCCCTGATCCTCCTGCCTCTACCTCCCAAGTGCTGGGTTACAGGCATTTGCCACCATACCCTGCTTGAATACTGAGTTGTTGTTTTTTTTTTTTTCAGTTAATAAAAACTTGTTAAAATGAAGTGGGGATCATTGTTCTCTTTAAAAGGAACTTTATTTAATGATGGTATTAGTATTTGTGGAATATATTAATTTTGATCTGAAAAAGAATAAATGTGTTGGATTTGCTGTTTTAAATAAACTACTCGTGCCTTAAAATGTGTGACCTTTTTTAGGTAAAGGGGCATGGTACATTTTGGATTGGAAAAGAATATTACTGAGTTGGTTCACTCTAGGGTAGTGTATCTCAACCCCGTTGGGGTCATATATCAATATTTACATTACGATTCATAACAGTAGCAAAATTACAGTTATGAAGTAGCAATGAAAATAATTTTATGGCTGGGGGTCACCACAACATAAAGAACTATATTAAAGGGTCGCAGCATTAGAAAAGTTGAGAACCACTGTCCTAGGGCTTAATAAAAGTGGTTTTAGCTGCTTTTAATTATTATGTAGTTCCCATTAATTAGAGAAAGCCTCATAATTCATGAAGTAAACTATATCACAAAACATTCAGCTTTTCAGTAATTCTATTAGAGTTCAAAAGATTGTTCAGTAGGGCCAGCAAGATGGCTTATCTGGTAAAGGCATTTGTCCTGCAAAGCCAAAGGAGAGCCTGAATTCCATCCCTCACACTCACAGTGGAAGAGGAGAATTCTATCATAAAAGTTGTCCTCTGACCTCTACACATACTCAATGAAAGACCTATGACCCCACACATAAATAAAAAATAGTAATAAGGTGGAGAGCGATTGAGAAAGGTAACCAACACCTGCCTCTGACCTACACACACACACACACACACACACACACACACACACACACTCACACACTCAAGCTTCAAAAGGAAACTAAAAGAATAAAACTTGAAAAGGCATGCCTAATCTCAGCAATTTTAGTATAAGGGAATAGGAAGACAAAACACTGCTTAGATTTTTGTATAAGCTGAGCTCTGTCTTTGCAAAATGATTTTTTTAAAATGCCAAATCAAAGTTATAAAGCTAGAGTATAGTTCAGTGGTAAGGCACTTGCCTAATGTGCATGAGGCCTTAGGTTCTGTCCCCAGCATTACCCAAAAAAAAAAGTTTATACATCTTTTAAATAGGTGGAGCCTATGATTATTACAAAAACAGTTAATGGTTACTTGTTCTTGGAAAGTGTTTTACCCCTAGACTGAAATACATACATTTATTTATTTATATAAACTAGTTGCTGTTTTTAGCAAAATTTTTACGGTAAATTTGGGGACAAACTTGAACCTAGCAGGGTATTTGCAAGCATGTCTCAAATATTTCTCATCTCATAAAATTGCTTATGGCACACTGGAATTTTAACAGCCATTGATCTCTTTACATAACACATAGATAATAAGCATCTAACACATACTTCAGGATCTAGAAATTGGCCCACCAGATCTTTATTAAATACTCTACTTAGTCTATTCTGGTTGTTAAAACAGAAAATAAGTGTGTCAATATAAACTGCTTTTCCATCCCATACTTTGTATGATTAAGCTAGTTAGGGGGCAAAGATCTCAAACCCTTGTGTAGAGGGAATCTTAGAAGGTCTTATTAATAAAATCAAACCCAGGCAGGTATTGGGGTGAACGCTGGAAAATCAGAGAACCAGAACAAGCCACAGCTAACCTCACCTGGCCAACTTCTCAACTGGTCTTGTTTCCTCAGACTGGAAGCCTCTGTGTCCTCATATCCAAATGGCTCTCAGCTGAACTGTACTGCTAGAAGCCTGAAAGCTTAACCAGCCAAATGCTTAACCAGGCCAAATGCTTCTAGTTTCTGGTTCTCATGCCTTATATACCTTTCTGCTTTCTACCACCACTCCCTGGGATTAAAGGCTCACTTTCTAGGATTAAAGGCGTGTGTCACCATGCCTGGTCGTTTCCAGTGTGGCCTTGAACTCACAGAGATCCAGAGGGATTTCTACCGCTGGAATGCTAGGATTAAAGGTGTGAGTGTCACCATTTTCTAGCCTTTGTATCTAGTGGCTGTTCTGTCTTTGACTCCAGATAAGGTTATTAGGGTGCACAATATTTTGGGGAACACAATACCACCACACCCTTGCACTGACGACATGTTTTCAGAAACCGTTTAATGATTTGAAACTTGTTTGAAAAATACAAAGTACATAACAAACCTAAAAGTGTATTACTTTCATCTTTCCATTAAAGTCTAGATTTATTTTCTGTCTTAGTTACTTTTCTATTGCCACAACAAAACACCATGACCAAGGCAACTTATAAAAGCATTTAATTCAGGGCTCATGGTTCCAGAGGGTTAGTCCATGACTATCATGGAGGGGAGCATGATGGGAAGCAGGCATGCTGCTGGAGCAGTACTGGAGTACTTAAATCTGATCCCCAGGCAAGAAGCAGAGACAGAGTGTGGGCTAATGGGGAAATGGAAGGGGCTTTGAAACCTCAAAGCTCACCCAGTGACACACCTCTTACAACAAGGCTGTAATCAGACTTTTTCTTGGGCAGCCAGCTCACAAACAATGACATGGAGACTTCTTATTAATTATGAAAGCTTGGCTGTTAGCTTAGGCTTGTTCCTAACCAGCTCTTATAACATAAATTAACCCATTTATGTTAACTACGTAGCATTAGCTCTCTTCTTTCTTGCACCTCCTATTTCCTCTCCATGTCTCCAGGTGTCTCCTCCCTTCTTCTTCCCAGAGTCCTCTCTGTCACCAGAAGTCCCACCAAACCTCTTCCTGTCTAGCTGTTGACAATTTTGCTCTTTACTAAACCAATCAGAAGGTACCTTGGCAAAGACACATCTTCACAGTGTAAATGAATACTCCACATTTCCCCCTTTTTGTCTAAATAAAAAGAAATGGGTTTTAACTCTAACATAGTATAACTATATACAATAAGAACAATTATCTAGGGCTGGAGAGATGGCTTAGCAGTTAAGAGCACTGGCTGCTCTTCAAAGTTCTTGAGTTCAATTCCCAGCAACCACATGGTAGCTCACAACCATCTGTAATGAGATCTGGCACGCAGGCAGAACATTTTAAAAAGAAAAAAAAAAAAAAGAACAATTATCAAGTAAGAATTACATTCACAATGTCCTGTCCATTTGTATTTAACAAATTTGGAGAAAGTACTCTATTATCTATCCCATCCTGGTGAGTCCAAAATTTTAGGCCTAAACCACTTTCTATCCTAACTTGTATTACCAACCTAAAAATATCTTTTTAGACCTCAAAACATTTTCTTAGAGAAACAATTTAAGCTGTTATGTCTTTCAACCTTATATGCTTTATGCCTCTTTTGTAAGTTTCTTTTCTGAATTTATTAACAAGGAAAACTAACTATAACTATCTAGTCTTCAACCCCATCAAAGATCCAAGAAGGATATAATATTACCTGAGTAATAGGAAATGTAGAGCAAGTAACTTCCAAAACTATGGAAAAGACAAAAACATCTAGCTCCCTAGACAGTTACCCAAGGTTCCTCTGCAATATTGCGACATCCATCTTCGGCCTACAGGTCTAGAATATCTGATAGATTTTTCTGTGAAGCAGGAATTTTTAAGGACTGTCCTACTTTGTCTTGGCAAAGTTTAGCAGTCTCTTTGTTTTGTGTCCTGTTTGTCCAATTTAGACAGCATACTGTGAGTAGTCAAGGCAAGGGCAATTTCTTGCCCAGTGGCTAAC